GTAATTCCTGGGAGAGATTCCATTTTGTTGTTTAGGAGTTTAGATTTGAGTATTTGATATTTTTAACGATGAGTTGTGATCAATGTATTATCCTGAAGCAATAAGTATAAAATATAGTGAAATTATAATATTATAAAAGAATTTACGCAAATCAAGTATAATATCTAATATATTTGTAATACACACCAGATCAAAGCTTGCAATCATTGCACGGCTCTCAAATTTGTCATCTTTCGCTATATACTGGCCAATTAAAAGTGAATCATGCAAGGTCCAGTGAATGGAACTTTTAGAAAAAATTCTCGAAGTAGAATCTACAAGAAATATAAAAATTTTTAAAACATGGCACATAAATATGCGAAGGAAATATTAAAATATAATTAAAGCTAAAATATAATTAAAGCCTAAATATAATTAAATCTTGGTAAAACCAACCAATTTTTATTTCTTTTTTAAGAACGGCATCCTCTTGTTCAGCATTATCGGATCGATCACGTTTTCTTTTAGTGTCGTATGCCGTTATTACTGTTTCTTTTTCTACTAATTTTATGTAATGATAAAAAATTATTTTAGAATGCTACTATTATACATTCGACTACTTCATAGGAACTATCGAATTCAGACATATCTGTCTTTTTTTTTTTTTTCGCAACGGAAATTCAAAATTATTAAATAAATAATAATACAGTAATAACCTTTTTTTCTTTGGACGAATTTATCCATTTTAATTTATTTTAACGAAGAATAATGATAATAATGGTAACAGGGAAAAGTTGTTTAAAACAATTACGCGCGTACGTACAGTACGTATTTATAAAATCTGAAAAATACTTGTACCACGTTTGTACTAGCGTTTTGATCGTATGATTTTTTATTTTTTATTTCACTCCACAATTTTATTTTACACTAATTTTGAGTACGTACGTGATTAACGTTAAGAGAAAAAAGATTATAGTTTTTTGATTCAAATGTATTTATATATATATATATTTTTTAGAGTATTTAACTATTAAAAGGTTAATACGTTTTTACTTTAAAATTGAATTCTCAAAATTTTAAACGAATTTGTACTTGTTACAATGTGAAAAATTAATGTCATATTGATTTTTCCAAACTAGAGTTTGTACCTGTTAAGAAAATTACCACCCGGGTTGACCCGGATGAATACTATGTTATTCAAGCAACAATCTTTACCCAGGTACAATCACTATTCCAAACTCATCATTTATTCGATGTTTTTTAGTTGGAAGATACCGAAATTTAATTCGCACTCTGTAATAATTTAGAGAAAAAACTAAATGATTAAAAATTTTTTTGAGATTTAAATCTTATAAACGTGTTTAATGATAAAGAGTGTGTCAAACATCTCTAAAATGCACCTCCTTAGATGTATTTACTGTATTTATAGAGTAACAATATTAAAAGAAAAGTAGTTTAAAGGTTTTTTTTATATGCAATGAATATCAACATATTGAGTTCCTATAGAAGGAAAAAAGAAATTATTAGATGAAAAAAAAAAAAAAAAAAAAAAAATTTAGGTGAAAATAAAATACCAATAATTTTTCTTGAAGCAGTCCTAGTTCTGACCATCCACTGTCCGTTAGGCATAGCCAAGTAAAAATTTGAATATCCATTATTAACAACTTTTTTACTTTCATTAACATCACTACCATTTCTCTCATCATGTTTTCTATTGTTATTGTTATTATTATCCGTTGACGGAGAAGACAGCTTCCCAGCAGCAAGTCCCTCGGAAAATGATGAAATTGTAGGTGGCGGTGGTATGTTATTCATTGACGAAGAAACATATTTATCTTGATCACACATTTTCGATTTAAATAAATTATTTAAAAATTTGATAGATTTTACACGTTTAGTAAAATGTAAAGAACGATTAACACCATTTTTTTTTGTATTATTAATGTTTATGGTATCAGATTCTTTAAGATCCTCTTCAATGATTTCAGTGGTTGAAAGGTTGGAATTTACAGTTGAGGTTCTAGATAATAATCTACCACCATTATCAAGGGATTTTTGACGAATAGAACTTTTCCTACTTAAATTACTTTTTGAACGGCGAAGTTTAGTTTCGTCATCATCATTTACTATATAATCATTATTAGAACAGTCTTCTGCGTTTTCACTTGAAGTTAATGATTTGTCACACGATACTTCAGCATAACCATAATTTATTTTCGAACTATTATTATGAAGATTTAAAGAATGAATTTCAGGTAAATTATCGTCATAAGAGATCAATTTTGATTCAGGTTCTGGATCGAGTCCAATCGTATCAACTATATTCATAATATGGCCGATAGAAGCATCATCTAATAAAACTTCATTATCAGAAGTTTTTGGAATTGTAATTCTTGAAGTATTAGATTCATTAGTTGTTAATAATGAAATATCAATATTATTAAAGTCATTGGAGACTTTTAATGGAACCATATTCAAACAATCGCTGTTCCGTTTCAAAGATGATCCCGTAGCAACAGTTGATGATGTATTATCGTTTTGCTGAGAAAGAGTCAATATTTCCCTTTAAATAATGATTACGAGATTCTTTCACTCGTATTTTGTATTTATATCCAAATTAATTAATTTAAAAATATAAAATATTTCAACTGTAGCAATATATAAAACATGTATCAGACAAGTATTTACGTAAAAAAATAATAATAAATAAAAATGAATAAATAAAAAGACTAACCATTTGTGTATGTGTATGATAAAAAAAAGAATAAAGATCTGCTTTTTTAAAGTCTAAAGAAGGTAAGTTAGAATCGAAACGATCGTAAATCAATATTTTTTTTAAATTGGCTTTCTAAAAAAATTATTCAACATGATATCACATACTGTATATATATGCTCAATTGATCAGTAATCAACCTAAATCTTAATTTTAGTTACTTTTTTTAATGTCGATAGCTAAATTTTATGTACAGTATAATGTAAAATTATTGATAGGGATGAGGGAAGTTTGAACTGGTTCAATATATGCAGGTACTGCATATATTATACGTACGTATATTGAACCAAACCAAATCTCTAATTATCGTTATTTCTTACTATACCGATACGTAATGTGCAACGTACTGTACTGTACGTACGTATGATTAACAGCCTTAAGACAATGTAACTACGTATAAATTTTTTTAATAACTAAAAATTGTTTTAACCAAACATGATCTACTTACGTAAATACTTACATATGATTCATTAGAGACAATACTCGATATGATAAAATGTAATGATGTCAATGTTATTAAAAATACTTAATATTTTACAAATCGGTGCATAAATTTTATTGGCTATTGTTCATTTATAATTATGGTTAGAGTTAGTACTGTATACTAGTG